GCTAAAAGCTAAAGTAACAAACTGATGCTAAAAGCTAAAATAACAAACTGATGCTAAAAGCTAAAGTAACAAAGTGTTGCTAAAAGCTAAAGTAACAAACTGTTGCTAAAATCTAAAGTAACAAAGTGTTGCTAAAGCTAAAGTAGCAAAGTGTTGCTAAAAGCTAAAGTAACAAACTGATGCTAAAAGCTAAAATAACAAACTGATGCTAAAAGCTACAATAACAAACTGTTGCTAAAAGCTTAAGTAACAAAATGTTGTTAAAAGCTAAAAGTAACAAAGTGTTGCTAAAAGCTAAAGTAACAAACTGATGCTAAAAGCTAAAATAACAAACTGATGCTAAAAGCTACAATAACAAACTGTTGCTAAAAGCTTAAGTAACAAAATGTTGTTAAAAGCTAAAAGTAACAAAGTGTTGCTAAAAGCTAAAGTAACAAACTGTTGCTAAAAGCTAAAGTGTTGCTAAAAGCTAAAGTAACAAAGTGTTGCTAAAAGCTAAAGTAAAGTGTTGCTAAAAGCTAAAGTAAAGTGTTGCTAAAAGCTAAAGTAACAAAGTGTTGGTAAAAGCTAAAGTAACAAATTGTTGGTAAAAGCTAAAACTAGCCCAACTGATGGATTGGATAAATTATTATTAGTTTATAAATAAAGCCTACAGAAGAAAACCTAAGTGCTGAGTCAGCAGCACACAGTTTCTTCAGGTTAGGGTTAGTTTGACAGAAGAAACAGGAAACAGGAAACAGTTCTGGTATCATCCTGTYTGCAGATACAAGTCTGAGTTGAGCCAGAGGACAGAGGTGAAAGTCTCCAGAGCTGCAGCCACTTCCTGCTGAACGTCAACATCTCACCACTGAAGCTCCTCTCTTTGTCCAACCTCTGCTGTCCTCACTTTAGTTATTTACCGTTGTTTAACCTTAACTGTCTCTGACACGTGCAGATCTGCTTCTTTTCATTCTGAGCTGCAGCTTGTTGTCATGAAGTTTTACTTTATACAACAGGTTTCACTGAAAGAACCAGAGATTCTGTTTCAGCCAACAAGAAGTTTGAACTGTCCTTTTAGATGTGTGTGATCTGAAGACAYACACACACATTTTAAAACGAACCGTGTTTGCTGACCTGAGCAGCAGAACCTGTTGAACCTGAAGACATCAYCTCTGCTACAGAAAGAACAAGAAGCTGTGGAAGCTGCAGGTTCCTCAGAGTCAGTGAGTTCTGTTACATCCTGAACGTTCTCCTGTTTCCTGTCAGTGATGGTGCGTGGGCGGAGCGGGACCTACCGTCTGGCACCTGCATCTCTCTGTAGCGAATCAGCTGGCTCGGGAGGAGGGGCTTAGTATGAGCGTGCTCAATGAGTGTGTCCTCCACCATCTGCATCATCCCCAGGGCAGACTGCAAGGACAAGAAAACACTTTAATAATAAAAATAACAATAATAATAAAACCATATTTTACACAATCTGATGTTTTGGTCTGTAAGGATGACTGTAACCAATGCACCAGCACCACCTAAACGTTCAAGTCAAGACTTGTTTTACCTCAAACACTGCAGAAGTTATGAGGGACAAAATAAGACTATTGTCCAACCAGCAGTTGTTCCATCCTTGTAGCAGGAGGCTAAATCTATTCCTGAGCAAGCTATTGATCTGATTAATGACAGGCTGATGCTAACGCCAGCTTACCTATTCTAGTCACTAGCCTTTCTGATGCTAACATAGGCTTATGCATGCTAGTCTCTAGCCTCTCCGATGCTAACGCCAGCTTATCCATGCTAGTCGCTAGCCTTTCCGATGCTAACGCCAGCTTATCCATGCTAGTCGCTAGCCTCTTCGATGGTAACACCAGCTTATCCATGCTAGTCGCTAGCCTCTTCGATGGTAACACCAGCTTATCCATGCTAGTCGCTAGCCTCTCCAATGCTAACGCCAGATATCCATGCTAGTCACTAGCCTCGCTAATGCTAACACCAGCTTATCCATGCTAGTCGCTAGCCTCTTCGATGGTAACACCAGCTTATCCATGCTAGTCGCTAGCCTCTCCAATGCTAACGCCAGATATCCATGCTAG